TCAGCGTGTATTATGGACTGCATAAAGGATACCGATATAAAACATTTTGTAAAATGACTAAAATTGCAATGCAAGGCTAAAGTGTGAAAAGTGGAGTCAATGAGGCATGAGATAAAGAGGAAAAGGATCTGTCATAGGACTTTTATATAGAAGTGAACATGAACACGTCGTTTATGTACACATAGAAGGCTCTTATATATACACACTATGTGGAGAAGGACTAAGAAATTGTTCAAAAACTTAAAATTACAGGTGAGCATGAAGATTCGAATCCATCGTTGTGCATTTTCTTATCCTATTATTTCCCTAAATCTAACCATTGAACAAAGAATTCAATTCGCCTAAATAAACATGAATTTTGCGTGATATTTTTGTGATGGACTTCACGAATAACGACGTAAGATTGAATATGTAATCGTAGAACCTAATATAGGGATTTGGTAGACGTCTATATGTACATTCGAGCCATTCATAGGAACATCCATATATGGTAATAATGCGTCCGACCTCTACTAAGAAATATACCTCCCATGCTACTTCAATGCTTGTTGATGACTTTGGTGTTGCAGATACAGCTGATGGTTTTCCTTCTGGTACTGTAGATATCAATATTATATACCATGAACAACTATATTGATATTGATTGAGCTTTAACATTAAATGTAGAAGTTGTGCATCATTCAACAAGTAACGGTTCCATCAGCGATCGAAAATATATGTTTTACAATAATTATATTTAGCTTACGTGCACTGCATGATAAGAGAGATTTGAATTTAGCCAACAGTGTCATTGCTTATTTGCGGCACAAAAAGTGTGGGTTTTGATACTAGAAGGCTTCAAGATTATGTATCAGTAAATTCAAATCTCTGCAATCCACCATATGTTTAATGCGACCTTTCACTTGAATCTTTTGTCAGCGTGCATTATTAATACAAAATAATTTTTTCCACTATTTACCATCCTCTTTTGTGTTTGCTGTTGCGATGTTGCTTTCAGTGCCATAATATCTTGAATTCCACATTGATACAGTTATACTGTATTTCATCCACTTGTTCAAGTTGGTCAGTAAGGTTTTTCTGACGTTTCTAACGAGTTTTGTCTTTTTTATTCTTCGTGCATCAGTGTATGTAATTCTAAAGCCAGTGGAAGGTCCGTTGAATTTTGCCCAACGTGACAACTAGAAAATATTGAGGTAAAATTGGACAAAAAGCGAAAGCGTTAGAAGTGGTCATGCCTTTCGGGGCGGATTGCCAATCAATAAAGCGTGGATTTCACTAGCGCATAAGCATAGGCATAAGTACGAAGCTCGAGAGTCATATGCGCCAGTGAGAACGGGCTCAAAATAAGCATAAGCATGAGCACAAGAAAAACGAGCAAGGCTTGGTCTTCTTGTGCTTATCTCATGCTTATCTTATGCTTATGCTCAGTGAGAACGGGACTGCATAGGCATAAGCATAATCTGGTACCGCATATGATTCTCATGGCTGTGCTTGTGCTATGCTTATGCGCTAGTGAAATCCACGCTTAAGCCGCAGATGTACAATGGCAATAGGCATGAGATAGATATGAGATGGATCTGGTCATACGACTTTAATATAAAGGTGAACTTGTACACGTCGTTTATTATGTACTTATAGAAGGCTCTTTATACACACACTATGTGGAGAAGGACTAAACAAAGCAATGAAAAACTAAAGAAAAGGCGGTCAGGAAGAGTCGAAACCATCCTTATGCATTGTATTAGCCCATAATTTCACTAAATCTAACCATTAAACAATGAGCTAAATTCGCTTGTACATGCGAGCCATTCAAAGGGACGTCCATATATGGAAGTGATAAGACTGACTTTTACTAAGAAATATACCTTCCATGCTACTTCAATGCTTGTTGATGACTTTGGTGTTACAGATACATCTGATGGTTTTCCTTCTGGTACTGTAGATATCAATATTATTTAAGAAATATAAAACGGCGCGCGTGTCTCTGTCCTCTGATATAAACACGGTGGGAGTTCGAAAAAAACACGAGAGAAGCAAAATTAGGAACGCGAGCTTAGCGAGTGTTTCTCTTGCTTCTCGAGTGTTTTTCAACTCCCACCGTGTTTATATCAGAGGACAGAGACACAAGCGACCATTTTATACTTCTTACATTTCTGCGATTTTCGAGCGAAAAACAAATTTTGTCTGTAAGCCGTGTGTCTGTACTCTGATATAAACACGGTCGTCAGCCATTCAAAGCGCGAGTTATAATTCAAACATTTTATAAGTAATGTTTACAACATGAGCGGCCGCGTTGTATGTGATATTAAAAAAACGAGTAGGAGTGTTTTATCGTGAGATATAAACACGAGGCCGAAGGCCGAGTGTTTATTATCCACGATAAAACACGAACTACGAGTTTTTTAAGTGACTTTTAAAACCCAAACCTAAGAAACTACAATAAACATGAA